CAGCAACTTCCCACCTTGAAAAACCCCGTTAAGGCCCCGGGGCGTTCGGTTTCAATCCAGGGCCGCCTGGTCAATCCAGGACCGCCCACCTCCGGAAGTGGTGCGTGGCTGGCATAACGTGTGAAATCAGCTAGGTTGATCAACCGATAGAACGACTGACATCTCCAGAAAACTTGTTTGTACGTGCCTCTTTCCCAAGCCAGCCTCCTTCACTGCTAGTGGGAAAGAGGGTTTTGTTAACGGCCTTGTCGACGGTTTTTCTCAGTTTTTTCTCCACTGTCGTTCCACTTCGCATCTCTATACTCAGTTTCAATCGCCATAATACCCCCTTATTGAGCCCGACTTTTGCCTTTAACAATCACTTATTTCCGAATCCTTGCCTTCTATCCTCGGGTACCAAACTTGTACTAGAGGATAAAAGCCTGGCCTGATCGAATGGGTTCCGCTAGCCATTGCCTAGCCCAGCTTTGAAGGAAATAGGATGTATGGTGTATCTTGAAAAGGAAAACATTGATGTTGAACCTATCCCATATCCCTTTATTTGCGAGAAAAATCATCATACTTAGATTGTGCATGTGAAGCCATCTAAATGTTGTTTACGTGGGTCGCCGGCGGAGAACAAAGAAAAGGACTCATTCTCCAATGCGCGAAGGAGCAGAGCCACTCCCTAAACATTAGTATTTCCCATGGAGAGTATTAGTTGACTGCATCGCAGTTCCCGTGGATGTTCGAGTTTCTTTCGAAAAAGGTCTCCATGTGGGTGTCTCTGGTTGTCAAATGAAAAACGAATCTGAAGTAGGAACTTCATATTTTTGACTTATCAAGTTTTGAAGTTCATTGCAGATCATCTGTAAAGGATAAAAAGGATGGTGTCGGTCAATGAGATGCGGATGAACTTGAACATGAATTCGGCTTCTATGCGGAGTCGTAGAGGCGCGGAATGCTAAATATTTTGCCTATGTCCTCGTGGGGTAACCCAGCGAATATTCAAGTTCCTAATCTTTGTGGTCGTCTTGTATAAAATGACCGATGGATGGAAAACTTTGTGGCCATAGGCTCTTTGAATCTACCGATGGTTGTTCCTGTGTCTATTGACGTTTTTTTCAAATGTCGTGAAGATGAGAAATTATGATCGTCGATTATAACGGAATTTTGTAAGCGAATCACTGTTTATATCGTTTGGGATGCGCCGCGCACCACACCATGGCTTACTGAAACGAACCTTATTTATCCACTTTTTGAAGGGGCGGAAGTGGTGTAGTGGCAAGTGGCACGCTTACCACGCGAGCGGTCCGGGGATCAAATCCTGGGTCGTGAGTCGCCCGGGCCAACCAAGCCTTCCATCCCTCCGGGGTCGGTTAATTGGTACCAGACTTGTCTGGGAGGATAAAAACACTGACTTGTACATCGGCTGGCCCCCGCAAGTCATTGTATAGGCCACATCGCATTCAAACGCCACTACGAATGTACAAATGGAAGTAGAATGCGTGCCGCATCCCAAAAAGGGATTGATCAACGGCAAATGCTTTATCCTTTATCCTTTTTTATCCATTTGTGTACGCACTATTACTAGCATAGAGACAAGGTTGAAACGGTGGTGTATCTTGCAGAGTTGGTTTTTAGCACGAGCATTCTTTTCATGACAGGGTGCGATGCAACTCTCCCACTCTAAGGACCTGTCCTCATATTTCGCGCTTGTGTTTCTCCTTTGTTTTAGCTGATTATCGCTGAATGAATCATTTGAATAGTGCTGACTTTTTCTATGTTTTTTTTTCCATCACTGAGAAAGTAGCTTGCTCCCCTATGTCGAACTCAAAACCATACCATTTTATCAGAATCGTTAAGATCTTATTCCAGTGCAGCAGAACATGCTTGCTACAGTGGTTCTTCTTGTGCTGATCGATGTTGCATTCGCCTTTCAGGTAAGGGTGCGGCTCAAAAAAGTTCATATCTTGAAGTCATGCGACCCATATTTGGGCTGTAGTCCGTTGACCGCGTGGGACCTTTCAACCCACACTTCAAAACAAATATTATATTAGCACTATCTTTTAATTTTTTTTTCATTCCATTCGATAAGTTATTACTTCCAACCCAAAAAATTCCATACAATAGGTTCTGCTCTACAAATTGCATGATGAGACTCCCAAATTTCACTAGAGTCCCACGCGGCCGCAAAACGTTAAGCATGAGCGGTCTCCAACTTGTTAACACAAATAGGTATGGATGCGTCGGGAGACGCTACAGGTCGCCGCGGAGGTAAGCAAACAAGCCTTTTGGCGTTTCGGCTGGGACCGTATGCTGAATGTTGGGGAGGGGATGGGGTCCCCAACGGTCGACGGTTTACTTCAACTCGGTTGGTACGATAGAGTACTGACGCAAGTGGTGCAGCTGGTCCAGCAGCTCCGCCAGAAGGGCTGGTTTGCTCACCCCAGGACTAAGCCTTGGAGAGGGGACGGACCCGTCCTCTCTTTAAGGCTTAGTTCTGAGGTAAGCACCAAATTGTGGCGGTTCTAAGGACCGAGTTGAAGTGGTCCGTCCACCGTCGGGGACTCCATCCCCTCCCCAACAGCCTATCATCGTACTAACTTCGTATAATTTTTTTACACACCCCTTACCCCAAGTGGAATTTGGTAGCGACGGCCTGAAGCGTTACGGCAAATTTTTATCTTGCGCGCCCTCTACTCGCACAACCTACTACCCACGGAAATCTTAGTTTCTCCTCAATCCCACACGTGATTTCGAGCGACTAAAGTGGGTACGACCCCCCCTCCTACAAACTCAACCAGGTACGACCCCCCCGTTGTTACTCGTAACAACGTAGGGTTGACCCTGCTCGTATCGCCTTCCCCAACATTCGCAACATTCAGCATACGGTCCCAGCCGAAGCGCCAAAAGGGCTGGTTTGCTCGTCGCCGCGCAAGCGCCAGGATACAGTCAGCGCCTGAAGGGCCGGTAAGCCACTTTGTTGAAGTGGGCAAGGTGATCGCATGGTGCTTTCTTACCCACATCCCCTTCGTTTGTACTGCCCTTTTGAGATTTCAACAGTTCAGTTTCAGTGTTCGCCAGACACCATCTTGAGAATGGCGACTGATAAAAGAGTGAAACAGTTGGAAAGAGAATGCCATCTTGCAAAGACAGGCGAAGCAGAATGTGAGACAAGAAACGATGTAGAAAAGGCGTGGAATGACTTCACAAAGCTTGAAGATGAGTACAAGGAGGTATGTTGAAAACATGTGAATAGATGCAGTAAAGAAATTGCAAAATGGAACATCCTCTGTTTATTGTAAATTATCTACTGAACATTATTTCAGGCGGTGAAAAAATGCAGAGAGACTGCTTCAAAATCAACAAGAAGTCGTGAGTTTTGTGCAGAAAAATGTTTTTAAGATACTAATGTTGACTTGTATGTTAATATCATCTGTTGTTTTGGCCGCAATTCATAATAAGAACGCTGGGTTATGGGTAAATCTCATCGCCCCATACAGGAATCGATTCTTCCCATAACCTAGCGCCCCATAACGTCCCATGATCCCTGTTATAGTTTCCAAAATGGGTTCCCCCCTCGGTTTGGCTTGACAGCATAGCGGGAGAGGGGTATTCAGTGTAGTCACTCTTGCCTGCAGTAACTCCGCTTTTGGAGGGAGAGGAAGTCCCGCGGTGGGTATGAAAGCGAAGATGAAATGGTCCACGTATCGGGAGGTTCCTCTCCTGCAAAAGTGGCGACAACTATATGTGGACGGCACGAACAACTTGCTCCAAATGCCCCTCCCCCGCTCCTTGACAGGGTAGACCCAAGAGTTTTTACATGCCCTAGAATCCCTCGCTAAGTGAACACCTCCCCAGATAGACAATGGATAAGTGAGAATTCTGTGGGCCAATTAACATGTGAGGGAATGGAAACCTGTAGCCTCTGGAGCCACGAGCTTGTCGTAGGAAAATTGTTTTAAGCTTTAGCTCTTTATGAGAGTTCATGCCTTCAGCCAAAGGCGAAAAATCAACTGAAGATCGCCGCTGCCAAATGATGTTTCCCTTTCAGGGCGAGCTCACCAAAAACGCCACTTATCTCATCGCAAGATGACAGAAACAGTTGGAGAAAAGGTACGAAGCTTGTTTACGTTCCAGATAGTAGGATATAGGCTAAATGTAGAGAGAAAGCTTAGTTGAATCGTGCGGATTTGTGATCGCACTCTGGATTCACTGTTACGCCTCAAAGCGAGGGTCAACCGTAGTGTGGTGTCGACTGAAAAATGTTAAGAACCCAATACGGAATTACCCAAGCTCAGAATTCCACGTGCATGGGTTCGTAAAACATTTTCCTCTTGGACTTTTTACTGTTTAGCGCTGTACTGGACCCGATTCCATCTTCAAGTAGTTCTTCGAACGTTGAGAAGTGGGCGTTCTAGAAATAAGTATGCCTGACTGCTGAAAGGACGGAAGCGGTGTTTGCCCAGTGTTTTTTTCATTAGCCTTGGACCAAAAAATTCCACGTAACGATTTTGAAGCATTATAACGTATAAGGGGTTTACAGATGCAGTCTTATAGTTTATTGAAGCCTCTCCAAGATTGTAGTACTTAACAAGGCTGACGTTTCGGCTTTCTTCGCCTTCTTCAGAGCCTGAAAAAGTCGAGAACTTTGAGATCGATCCCTCGAAGCTTCTAACAATCCTGAAGACAACTCCAATAGACTAGAAAACCCTCAGTCGGTATCGGTCAATGCGAAGAGTGCTACCAGCTCACCTTGATGTCTGTCGCCAAGGAGTGAGAGAGACCACCACTAGAACTTGAATGCGAGTACACTGAGCATTACTACCTCCACCCCGCGACCTCACTTGTAGGTCATAAATTGCAAAGGTCGAGAAATCAAAAGTTTACAGATTAATTAGAAGTTAATTGATTGTTTTTCCGAACTGTTTCGAGAAGTTTAATTCAAGAGGGAGAAAGGCTGCTATATGGATTGCTTCATCGTTGGCTCAGCGCAAGAGCCAATTTGGAGAACTCTCGAAGAACACATTGATGCTTCGAAAGGAAAGCTTTCACACCTAGCGTAGTGTCGGATACAGCGATTCTATATTATTTCATCAGAATTGACGGCTACAACAATTCAGCAAAGTTAAGCTTAGCAAAACTGTACCTGTAAATTGAACTCTTTAGAAGCAACATCGTCGTGTTCAATCTGTCTAACAAGTGGGATGGGTTTGAAGAAAGCAGTGTCTTTTTTGCAAGAAAAATCATCAAAAGTTTTGAAATGAGCACACTAATAGTGCTTTCTGTAACACTTAGATTAAAGGAAGTAGGTACGGAAAGGAATTTTCACATCTGCGGAGAACCTGCTCCCCACAGAGCAATTAGCAGGCCGCCAAGGAAGCGATGTGTGGCGCTTCCACTGCGAACAGTGCTGTGGTTGCTGAGAGCAGGACCATTGCGCCCTTCCGCCCCATGCGCCGCCCCGCCCACTGGTTTTGTTGATGATCTGGATGGACTGATTGCTGTTGGCTTTTCATTTTGGATGATCTTTTCCCATCTAGCGGCTGTATCTTCCAACTTGCCCATGTTATGCCTTATCAATCAAACACTATGCTTGTTGGCATGATGGCGGCTATCGGGGTTAACACGTCCGAACAACGTCGTCTTTACCGTCGCTCATCCATGGTCGAAAATGAAAGGGCAATCAAAGGGGTACTATTTTGCTTATTTTTGACGGATTTCTTTGCTTTTTTCGCCATTGGCGTACTATTGAGACCCCACGTCCCCTCTAAACCCCTTTGAGATCTATCGTAATCGCTGCCTTTAAGGGTCAAGGTTATTTATCTAAATATCCCTCCGATAAGCCACATGGGACTCTTGTTTTTTTAATCATTTTATTTGTAATTAAAAGCAGAGACTTAAAAGAAAAGACAGCACGTGCCCCATATTCATGGTTTTGTAGGAAGGATCAGAGCAATTCATTTCAGATGCTTCCCGAAGGTGAGCGGTTCGGCGCACCTCATCCGATTCGCACAAAAAGGCAAGCCTGCAAAACGAAAGCGTCACAGGAGTTAAATCAACTAGCACAGGACTTCAGCGCCCATTGCGAGAGGGACAACATGTACGTTGGCAGCCTAATAGTCAGAAATATTGGGTGCTTCTTCTTTGTAAAGGCAAACCCC